ATGCGGTGAGTGCGCGGCGGCGGCGCTCAGGGCGCGCGGGCCGGCCGGGACTCGGGGGGCGCGGCGGGCGCGGCGCGCTCCTGGCGGCTGCGGAAGTCCTGCAGGGCGCGGCGGTTCTGGAAGTCGATGAGCGCCAGCGTGATGGCCGCGTTCCAGCAGCTCTCGCCCGCGCAGCGGAAGTCGATCTCCTTGCGGTCGGTGGTGACGATGGTGAAGTAGACGTACTTGCCGGTGCGCTCCACGCAGTCCACCTTGAGGATGGAGTGGAAGCGCAGCTCCTTGGCGCGCGCGCCCGGCCCGGCGGGGAACAGGCGCAGGCGGTCGGGGGTGAGCACGCCGCGCTTCTTCTTCCACAGCTGGAACAGGCTGTCGCTGCGCTTCTCCAGCTCGCCCTCGCGCAGCACCTCGCCGGGCGTCCTCATGGCGGCGGCGGCGGCGCTGGCGATGCGCCCCGGCCGGCCCGGCGACGCTTTAAGGCGGCTCCGCCTGCGCCCGGCCCCGCCCCCACCGGGGCCCCGCCCCACCCGAGGCCACGCCCCCTGCCGTCCAGGATCGCCGGAGGCTGTCAGCTCGCCGGTGCCGACCGCCCGCGCCCCTCCCGTTCCCCGGCCGCCCCGGCCCCCCGGCCCCGTGGGGGTGACTTGTGGTCTCGCCCCCCGCCCCGCCAACCCCGCCCCGGAGGCCGGCCCCGCGGAGGAATGCGCTGCGGCCGGCCCTGCCCGCGGTGACTCACGGCCCGGAGCCCTGGGAAGCACCCGGGGACGGAGCCGGCCCAGGACGCCCACCCTCCCGGCGCTCCGGCGTCTAGTCCCGCCGCTCGAGGGCTCGCGGCGGACGCCCCCCCGCGCCTTGGGGACCCTTCCTGGGGACACCGTCCGATGGCCCTGCCCGGCCGGCCTTGTCTCCCACCTGCCCCTCACCCCCCACCCTCCTGCGGGCCGCGCCTGGCGGGAACCTTCGCTCGCCCACCTGGGCCGGGCCTACCCGGAGAGCAGGTGCTCCGGGCCGGCTTTCTCCTCTGTGACATGGGGACAATAACACTTTCGTTAGATTGGGGAACACGTGGCAAGTGCTGGAACAGCACCCCGAGGGGGCCTGTCCTCCTCCCTGGGTCCTCCTGGCGTCTAGGCAGAGGACTCCCATCGCCTGCACAGCCCCATGGGGCTCGGCCCTAGGCGCTGTGGGTGCTGGAGGGTCGGCCTGGAGAGGGGCGGCGGGGCGGCTGAGTCACGGGTATTTCCTCCCTTCCTCTAAAGGGTTTACGGGAGCAGGAGTGACGGCCGCCCGCTCCAGGCTCCTCAGAAGGGGTCTCTGGGGGCGGGGACCGCTCCAGAGCACCCACCTTCCAGCGCCCCCCCAGCCCCCCAACCCAGCTGTGGGGGCGGGGCGGGGCGGGGCGGGAGGGGCGGAGACTGCGCACAGCACAGGGAAGGACAGAGCCCCCTGGGGGCGGTGACCAGCACTCCAGGCGGCACACCTGTGGGGCGGTACAAATGAAAACCAGGTTCCCAGGTTGCAAGCCAATGACAGTGGAGCATAGAACCGAATGCAGGACCTTCTAGGTGCAGGTCTGTGAAGCTGCCCCCACCCCCCACCCCCGGCTCTGTGGCCTTGGCAAGTCCCCTAAGCTCTCAGAGGGCGGCCCTTCGGGCTCACAGGGAGGAAGGAGGACACCGCCAGCTCACACGAGGGCTTGGGCCAGGCCTGTGCAAATGGCGTCAGGTGTCAGCTGCCCAGCGGTCCCCACCGGTGTGGCCGGGGGGTGCGGAAGGGCAGGGCGAGTGAGAGGGAGTAGGTGAGGCCGGGTAAGGCCGCCTCCCGCCGGTCCAGCGCTCCTCTCTTTGGCCGCCACTGGCGGGGCCTCTCTGGGGAGCGTTGACGGGTCAGGGACCCCGGGGTGGGGGGGGGGGTGCTCTGACAGGTGTGCGTCAGGCAGAGCTGGGAGGGCAGGTGGAGAGTCCTGGCTCCGACCTTGGCAGGGAGACCTGGGGCGGGACAGCCTGGGTGGGTGGGAATCAGGCTGGGGATTCCGGAGGGTTGGGGGTCGGGGGCCGGGCCCACCCAGGCATCTCCACCGCCAACAGCCCCTGGCCTGGGGCCTGAGACCCGCATCTCCCAGACGCCCCGCGGGGAGCCTGCCGGCCTCTGCTACCCTCCCCGCAGCTTAAGCCTGGAGCCAGGAGGGGGCCCTGTGCCCCCCCCCCCACCCCCAACAGGCCCATCTGGGGGAGCTGCTGGGGAAGGGGGCTGGGAAGGATGACGAGGGAGCTAAACACTGAGCCAACACCCCCAAGGGAAGACCTTTCAGGGGGAGCCCGCTTTGGGCCATCGGACAGCCACCAGGACGGCTTCCCGCCGGGCACTGGGGACCCCGGTGTGGATTTGGGCTGCACCTCAGGGGCACTGGGGCCTCCCCAGGCTTCTAGGCCGGGCGGGTGCCGGACTGCCGCAGGCTGGAGAGACGGGGCCCCAGCGCCCTCTATGTCCCTGATGGTCCCTCGACGAGGTGGGGGCTGTTGGGGTTGCTCTCTTGGATCCGCGGGGAACGGAGTGGGGGTCTCAGAGAAGTTAGGGACTCGGCTGAGGTCACACTGCCAGCCGGAGGGGTTCAAACCCAATCCCTCCTCCTGCGCCCCAAGGCCTGGGGGCAGGAAGCGGCCCCGCCCAAGTGAAGGGGGTGGGGCCGTGCTGGGCCTCGCCTCTGTCTGTGGCGTCAGACTGTGGGTCAGAGCCAAGTTTACTAATGTTTATCCAAGGGTCGCATCTGGGATTCACGCAGGGCCTGCCCCGGGGGGACACCCCCTTCTTCCCCCGGGGGCAGACAGAGACTGGTCTCCAAACTTCCGGCCAAGGCCACTCGCTGTCCTGTCCAGCTGGGCCCAGACGGGATGAGGGCACCTCTCTGAAAGGTCCCTCGTGAGGTCATGCCCACAGCGGTGAGAGGCTGGGCCCGGACGCTCTTGCCCAACCAGCCCTGGGAACAGCAGCCTGTGAGGAAGCCGTGCGTCACAGCTGGCCCATGTGCCTGGGGCTCGATACTACCCTCTTCCTGTGGGAGGCCGTGCTCAGGGACAGCCGGACATGGGGTTCCCTGCTTCCCCTGCCCGGGAGACCCTCTCCTCCGCTCCTCTGGCCTCCTCCAGGAAGCCCCCCGGGTTGCCGGGAGGGGCATGCCCTCAGGACTGCTCCCACCAGCTTTGTGACTGCTGGGCCTTGGGGGTCCCGCAGATGCTCCAGCGCGAACCTCAGGAGGGCGGGGAGGCCCACGCTGCCTGGGGTCACAGCACCAGAGGTCGCGGCCTGTGACTGACTCAGGCCTGCCCTGCGTCCCTCTCCTTACTGCTCCAGCCTGGGAAAAGCGAGAGGCCCCAGGGCAGGAGGCTGGTTTCAGGCTTGCATCGCCAGCCTGGCTTCGGCCCCTGGGACCTGTGTCTCTCGTCCCCCCCCCCCCCCCCTGGGCCTCGGGGCCCCCTGGGGGGGGGCTCACCGGTGGGGGGGGGGCGGCCTAAGACACAAGGGGTGCAAAGAGAAAGGGCCCAGAGCGCCTTTCTCCCCCTTGGCCCCTGGCAAGCTCCCTATCCAGCCCGCACTACCTTGTTCAGAGGTCACTATCCGCTCCTGGAATGCAGGGACAGTGTCTCAGGGTCGGGGCCGCCAGGGCCCAGCCCAGGCCCTTGGGGAATGTTTTTGGAAACCAGTGGCCCGCAAAGGCAGCTGCCTCACTGACCAAGAGACGCGATTAGAGCATCTGCCTGTGTGGAGGCCGCAGAACCAGGAGGGCAGGCACGGGGTCTGGGGCGGGAGCGGGGAGGGGGAGCCGGTGGGCATTCCCGTCCTGTCATTGGCCGAAGACGGCCCAGGGCTCAGCCCCCGGGACACGGGACCTCTCCGGAGGAGGCCCGAATGAAAGCATGAATACGGATGAAGGAAACGGAGGGAGCCGAGGTGGGCGAGGCTTGGCTGCCACCCTGTGGACGGCGGCCAGTCCTCGCAGCCCCCGGGCGGTGTCCGCACGGGGACACACGGGGGGGGGGGGGGGCCGCCCCCCCCACGTCCCGCGGCTCTCACGCAGCGGGTGCGGGGCAGGGCCCCGTCGTGCACATTTTGATCAAGCCCCTTCCTACTTTAAAAGTTTTCCAAAATTAGGGCGCCTGGGTGGTTCAGTCAGCTACACGTCCCACTCTGGATTTCGGCTCCCGTCGTGATCTCACGGTTCGTGGGTTCGAGCCCGCGTCGGGCTCCACACTGACGGCGTGGAGCCTGCTTGGGACTCTCTCTCTCCCCCTCTTTCTGCCCCTCCCCTGCTCACTCTCTATCTTTCTCTCTCAAAGTAAAAAATACGTAAACTTTAAAAAAGAAAAAATTGCCAACATAGTAACCAGTTGTTGGCATAACAAATAAAAAAGGCTGAAACGATTCCAAAGTGTCCTCATGTTGCCACCCTGGGCCACTCTTGCTGTCTTGAGTGAACTTTCATTCTTGTTAAGAGGCATTTCCCGGGGCGCCTGGGTGGCTCAGTCGGTTGGGCGTCCGACTTCGGCTCGGGTCACGATCTCGCGGTCTGTGAGTTCGAGCCCCGCGTCGGGCTCTGGGCTGATGGCTCAGAGCCTGGAGCCTGTTTCAGATTCTGTGTCTCCCTCTCTGTCTGTCTGACCCTCCCCCGTTCATGCTCTGTCTCTCTCAGTCTCAAAAAATAAACGTTAAAAAAAATTAAAAAAAAAAGAGGCATTTCCCCCCAAAATTAAAAATCAAATTACCATGTGACCCAGGAGTCCCATGTCTGGGTCCATCCCCAAACGCGAAAGCCGCCCAGAGGTGGACTGATGCTGACCCGCGGGTTGCATCCAGGATTCACGCGGAGCCTGCCTGGGGGACGCCCCCACCTGCCCCCAGACAGAAGGACTGGTCCCCCGATCGGGAAGCGACCCCGTGTCCACCGACGGACGGATGTGGTCCGTCCGCTCCCTGGACTGTCGCTCAGCCTGACGAGGACGGAGGCTCTGCCACCTGCCACCACGTGGATGGACCCGGGGACCGTGATGCTCACATGTGATCCCCCTCACACGAGGCCCCTGGAGTCTCCAGATTCCCGGAGACGGAGAGCGGATGGTGGGCACCCGGGCTGGGGGTCAGTGTTTCACAGGGACGGTTTCCATTTGGGAAGATGGAAAGCTCTGGAGACGGAGGGTGGGGATGGGCGCACAACGGTGTGAACTGTGAATGTGTTCCATGCCACCGAGCTGTGCACCTGAAAATGGTTGATGGTAACGTAATGTCACATGTACTTTGCCACAATGTAAGAACTGTATCCACGCACACACACACACACGCACACACACGCAGGTCCAGATAGGAGCTTCCAGGTTTCGCAGAAGGGAAACACAACGTGTGCCTTGTTCCGTGTGTCCTGGGTGTTCCCCACGCATCTGCCTCCCTTCCCGGGAAGGACTCCGGGATTTCATCACCTCCCATAGCACTCAGGCTGCTGCGCCCAGGCTTCTGCGATTATCGCGATGTCGTGTGAACGTCCCTGAACTTCACTGGGACTCACGGCTGGATGTGGAACTGTCGTGTTAAGGGCGTGAGAGCTCTGGCAAGACCGTCTCCCGGCCGGTTTGCAGTCCCACCTGCGTGTGCCGGGCGCCTGTGCCCCCTACAGCTGGCCCTCCAACGGGCAGTCTGCATTTGTGCCCCTTGTCCCCAGTCCGGGGACCAAAACCCGGGGTGTCGTCTCCATGGAGTCAGCGAATGTGACTTTATGTGGTGAGAGTGTCACCTGACACGACAAAAGATGCGATTCAGGACCTGGAGCTCGTCGCATCCTGGGTCACCCGGGTGGGCCTGAGTGCCATCACGGTGTCCTTCCCAGACACACGGGGAGGGGTGGGGGCACATGACCACGGAGGTAGAGGCTGAGGGGATGCTGGGGGCCCCAGAACTGGAGGCAGGAGGGACCCTCCCCCTGAGCCCGGCCCCGCCCACACCTGGCCTCCGGAACCCAAACAGGCACAGACTTCCGTGCGAAGCCTCCCAGTCGGTGGTCATTCGTCACAACCACCCTGGATCAGAATGCAGCCCCCAGGTGGTGTGGTGTCAGCCCTTCCTTGGCCTGCCACACAGTCCGGTGGCAGATGAGGACCAGAGTGATGGCATTAGCTGGTGACTTCTGAGCTGGGGTTTCGAGGATGAGCGGTTCTCCACATCACAAGGCCGTCCCAAGGCAAGGGCATGGGAGAGGGACATTCGGTGTTCTGTGCTCCCCTGGCCTGGGACACCTCTCATGGCCCCCCTCCCCCCCCCCCACCCCCACCCCCATCGCAGACCTGTTGGATCCCCTGGGGGGGGGCCCCCCTCGTGTTCCCTCCCCCCCCCCCCCCCCAGAAATGGGGGCGGGCTGAGACCCAAGGAGGTTCAGAGACCTGATGGACATTCCCGCCAAGCCAGCCTTCCGGAAGCCCCCAGCCCGGCCCGGCGGGGGAGGAAGCAGCCGGTGCAGGATGTGTGTGTGGGGTCTGCCGCAGAAGGTCCCGGGTCGCAGACCCCAAGAGGCCCGGAGCCCCGGCTGGGCCAGGCACGCCTGTCTGGTCGTCAGAGAAAGTAACATCCGGCCGCCGCCCTCCCTGCACTGAGTCAGCCTGGCATCTTGGGGGCGGGCAGGGGCCCCGCCCAGGTGCCCCGAGAGGACTTGGCCTCAGGGTGTGCCCGGGCCTCACCCTCCCGGTGGCCGGGGTCAGTATTTGGTGGGAATGCAAGTTTCTGCCGGCCACCGTGCCCTCGGGGGTGCCGGCTCCTGCCCTCCGAGCCTCAGGGGCTCCCAGGAGGGTCCCAGGCAGACGAGGTGCCTGCAAATCCTGAAGAACGGAGGGTTCGGCCGGGGCCAGCAGAGGACGGTCCTGGGGTCCCTGCTGTCGGGGGATTCTGCCTGCCACTACCTCCCGGCGGACGGGAGACCGAACGGCTGGTCGGCCCCTGTGTCCAGGTGGCCAGGCGCTGAGGCCGGAGCGGGAAGGATGTGTCCAGGGGCCAAAGTCCAGGGGTGCCTGAAGGCTGGGCCGGGGCCAAGGAGCCCTCCGGGAGTGGGAGCGGGAGCGGGAGCCATCCGGCCGACTCGGCCTGGCTCCAGAGGGGGTGCGTCAGGCCTCTGCTCGGCCCCTGGCCCCACGGGACAGGGCCAGGAGCCCATCCGGCAGACTGGCCGCCACAGGGCTGCGGGCGCTGCGGGCACGCTGTGGAGCCCTCACCCGTAGGCGTGGTCGGGGGCGTGGGCGACCTGCCCCCGCCCCCGCCCCGGGTGGCCACAATTCCCAACCCATCATGGGGGAGAACCAGGATTTCAGGTGGAAGGACCCCGACTTGGGAGCACTTCTGACAACGCGGGTTCCCCGAGGTTCGGTTTGCACACACAGCCGAGCGCACTCACTGAGGGGTTTCCGCGAGTTTCCACCGCCCGGAGGTACCCTGGCCGCCCCCGCGCCCGCTCCCCAGTGACCACAGTCCGCGCACAGCCTCCAGAGGCCACCGCGTCACCTGCACGCCCTCCCTTGTGTCTGGCTGGCTTCGCTCAGTCCCTGCTTCCAAGGTCCCCCCGCTGGGACCCCACCTTGAACTCCAGGCATCTGTGGAAACCCTGGAACGGCCCAGGGCAGAGCCGAGCCGCCCAGGGGCCGGGACGCAGAGGCCGGGGCAGGACGGAGCTCGGAGACGGCAGCCACTCGATTCTGAGCATGTCTGAGGGGGCACGGTCTCGTGTGACGAGCGAGACTCCGGCCCTGTGGCCTCAAAGGGAACAGTCTAGGGAGGGAGGGAGGGCATGGGCAGCAGAGGCCGTGAGGACAGGAGGTGGGCCCGGATGCTCACCTGACCCTCTCAAAGAAGCATCGTGACGGCCCCGCCCACGAGGGTCCCAAAGAGGGGCCGGGTGGGCCCGGCTCCAAGCGGTTCAGGGGGTCAGTGGAGACAGAGGTCAAAGAGCAGCCAGGCGGGCAGCCCTGGGGCCCCGAGGCAGCGGCAGCCCAGCCCCTGCAGAGCCGGCCAGCCCCCAGAGCTGCTGTCTCCTGGCTGCTCCGGAACTTTCGGGAGCAAGCGGCAAGGGAGCGTCTGCAGGTTCCCTGAGGTGCTGAGGGCCGGCCGGCAGAGGCCCCGCCTTCCCCTTCCCGTGACTGCGCAGGGGTGAGGTCAGGGAGCAGCTGCGCTGACAGGCCAGGAGGCAGGGCCGCCGTGGACGGTTGGGGAAGGCACGGCTTCTCAGGGCTTCGAGCTGCATCTTGCCGTCCGAATATGTTTGGAACAACCAGCGCCAGCCTGAGGCCGCGGGGACCCAGCTCCGTGGCGCTCGTGCACTCTTCTTCCCGCAGGGAAATGAAACCCAGCGTCTCCGGGGACGGCCGGCATCCAAACGTCCCTCCCGCTGCCCGTCCGTGCACCGGGCACAAACTCTGACACCCACGCCCGCTACGGCCTGCTGCGCGACTCACCACGGCCAGCCAGCAGGCCCGGAGTCCCGTCCCACCGCGCCCGGGGCCCAGCCGCCCTCTCCAGCTCCTCGTTCTGCTCAGACCCCAAAGGTAACCCCTGTGAACACGCACACACAGGCGTGCACCCACACGGACGCCCATTCTGGTGGCCACGCATGGACTCGGCCGGTCTCCGAAGGGACGGAGCTCTGCACACACGCGCTCTGCACACACGCTGGGTGCGGACTCTCGCCCGTGATGCACACCTACGTTTTTGAAGGCCTCGGAACTGCTGGGCAGGGGGGCCCTCGGACGGGGCCGCCCCCCGCCCGCGGAGCTGTGTGCCCTTCGAAGACTCTTCCCACGTGACCTGCGTTTCTTCAGTGAGGCCCGGCAGCCGCCAGGCTGAGCGGTGCTGCGGCTCCTAGTGGGCGTGGGTCCGCCAGGGGCCGGCAGGAGGGAGGCTTCCCCTGAAAGGTCACGCTCGCAGTGAGCCCTGGGCCAGTGGGACCAATGCTCACAGAGCCGTGTCCGTCCCTGTGAACCTCCTGCACATCACCCAGGCACACGGTCGTTCCCTATCCTGCGGTTACTCGAAGCCACAGGTTTGTAAACAGATTCATTCTGGATGCTCCAGGGCAATGTGCCAGTCGGGAGTCCTTGGGGAGCCTGGATCAGTCAGGATCTGCGGGGACAGCAGCTGCCGCAGAGGTCCGGGGCCCTTCTCCCAGCCGGGGGCCCGTCCTCCAGGGGTGCTCTCAGCCGGGGGCC